CTGGAAACTGATGTTACTGTGATGGGGGAAATGGGAATGGCAAGCACCAACAAAAAGGGGAGGCTGCAGACCACCATGACTATGGTGGGGGGCCTGGAAGATGCCATGACCACAATAGGGGGCCTTAAACCTGCTAGCCCTGTAACAGGGAGCCTGGAAACTGCTGCTACTGTGCTGGTGGACCTGGGAATGGCCAATGCCAGTAAAAAGGGCCTGGAAGGAAGTGGGGAGCCCAGCGGAAGCCCGGACACAGCAGTTGATTGCCCGGAAGGCCGGAGAAAGAGGAAGGCAGAAGAGGCAGTGATCTCGGTGGAGGAAGAAGAAGAGGATGAGGAGGAGGGTGGGCCTGGGGGGCAGCAAGTTCTGAAGATGGAGCAGTATCTGGATGCACTGGAGGCGGTACAGCTGCAGCTGGAGGAGGTGAATGCCCGCGCTGCCTGTGCCTACCAACAGCTGCGCACCAAGTTTGGGCACCTGCGGCGGCCCCACCTTGAGCACCGCAACCTCATCATCCAGAATATCACTGGCTTCTGGGTCACTGCTGTATCCTGCCTGAGGGCTGGGGGAAAAGGGGGCACTAGGGAGATTAGGTAAGGGGTCGTGTGGGGGCTTGGATTGGGGTGAGGGGAATGCTATATAGAACAGAGCAGTATTAGGGACACCACGGGCTTGGGGGTGTCACAAGATGGGAGAATGGGTTGGGGAGCACCAGGGGTCACCATGGGGACAGGGAGGGGTAAGGAACTCCCTAGGTGTCTGAACTCTGCAGCCTTAACTCTGACCCCCACCCTCAGTTTCTCAACCACCCCCAGCTGTCAGCCCTGATTAACGACCGGGATGAGGATACCCTCAGCTACATGACCAACCTGCAGGTGAGGAAGGAGGTGGCCCAAGTGCTTGGGTTCCTTCCCCTCTGGGGGTGGGAGCAGAGTTTTGGGGACTAGAATAGGGGGTGCTGGAAGCCCAGGTGCCTGGGTTCAATGGCTGCTTAGGGAGTTGGGGGAAGGGGGTTGTGGTAGGTAAGGCCTGGATGTCTAGGGTCTCTCCCCACTGCGGCTTCTAGGAGTGCAGGAGATGATATTCTGCTTTGATAGCCTGGACTCCTGGGTTCACCCCCCTGCAGGTGGAGGACTCCCACACCAAGCCCAGCTGCAAGATCAAGTTCTACTTCAGCAAGAACCCTTACTTCCAGAATGAGGTCATCGTCAAGGAGTTCCAACATGGCTCCTCTGGTAGGGGGTGGAGCCTGTGGGGTGGGGCCTGAGGAGGCAATTACAAGTTGGGGTGGGGCTGAGGGCAGGTAGAAGGCAGGGCTTAGGGCCTAACTTCTGCTTGTCTCTGGTCCTGCCCCCAGGCCGGCTCATGTCCCATGCCACTCCAATCCGCTGGTGGCAGGGCCAAGACCCCCAGCTCCAGGCCCACAAGCTGCGTAACACAGGGTGCAGCTTCTTCCACTGGTTTGGTGACCACAGCTTCCCTGCTGGTGACCGCATTGCTGAGGTGAGCCCTGCCCTAGACCCCACCCCCTGCTGGATTCATTTCCCCCTTCTCTGCTCACACCCCTGCCCCACATCTGTACTTCCCCCAGATCATCAAGGAAGACCTCTGGCCCAACCCGCTCCAGTACTACCTGATGGGTGAGGGTGGGGAACATGGTGATGACAGGTGAGCAAAGGCTTGTGGGCAAAATCTCCCCCATACCTGGTTGGAGCTGGTGCAGCAAAGGATTGTAGGAATTCATGTTCCCTAAGCAGGGGAACAAAGGACTGTGAGTAAAGTCTGACTTAGGAGTTGGGTGCGAAGGACTCTGGGTCAGCATAGCCTTGAATGTTAGGAAGTGAGGATTTGGTCAGTTTGGCATGAGTGGAGAGCAAAGGATTGAGAGTAATCACAGCCTTAGGTTTTGGTGAACAAAGGGTCATAGGTGTTCATGACTTTAGGTGCTGGGGAATCAACTTTTCTGTGCCCTGAGCTAGAGGAAAGGGGGGTTGTAAGTTGGGGGGTGGGGAGCAGGATGGTGAAGCCCTGCCCCTGAGATTACCTCACTTCCTACCCCACCCCCACAGTGAGACAGAAAATGGAGAGGATTGCGTGGTGATCGTGGATGACGATGGCGAGGATGAGGTGCAGGAGATCTTGGATGAAGACGAGGAGGGTGGAGGTCAGCGTGTGCCACACCCCAAAGCCAGCCACAGCACTGTGCCCTGTTTGTACCTAGCCCTGGTGCACCCTGCCTCACAGCCAGCTGAATTGTGGGGCTCCTATTATACCCAATTTCAGCACCCAGAGCTAGCCGCATTGTGGGGTTGTTACATGCAGCCCACATCCCTCCCCAGAACGAGTTGTATTGTGGGAGCCATTTTGTACCCACCCCAGCCAAGCCTGCCACAGAACAGGCAACTGTTGTACCTGGTCTTGGCACACCCCTCCCAAGAGCCAGCCACACTGTGGAAGCCCTGTTATACTCGGCCCACCTCTCTTCCCTGAGCCAGCTGTATTGTGGGGGCACTCTGATCCAGCTGTAGTACATCTCTCTGCAGAGCCAGCTGTGTCATTGGTATTCCAGCCTCTGACAATCTTCCCCAAGCCAGCCACATCATGGGGACACCTTGGGACCAGTTACACCCAGTCTCTGACACTCCTCCCTGGCTGGAGGCAGCTGCATTGTGGCATGACACCCCTCTCCCTCCCCAGGCAGCAGCGTGGAGGAAGTAATGGAGAAGGCTGCAGTGCCAGAGTCTGACAGCCGGGGCATAGAGCTGGAGGATGGATAGTTCTATGCCTTTTCCTGACCTGCCCCCCAAAGCCCCAGCCAGGATTGGACCATCACCATGGAAGCTGCCCCCAGGGACCCAGACTCTGCTACTGATCCCCACCCCTCCATAGGGGGCAGGGAATGCTACATACCAGCATTAGCTGCTCTTAAGTTTCACTGGGACCAAAGGATTGTGGGTAACTACCTGGGCCTGGATGGGGGGGGGGAGGGGCTGGTTGAGCCAAGGGATGGGTTCAACCTGTGGGTAATGAATCCATGAGCAGCTGCAGGAGCAAAGAACTGCAAATCTGTGTTGCTGCCAGGAGCAAGAAATTGTGGGTAAACACCCACAGGTAGGCTCAGACTAAGACATTGTGGGTATGTTCCTAGTGACAACCGTCTTGTATGTTGTCTAACTCCCCTCAGCAAGGTGTTGTGGGTAAGAGCCTGCTGGTGGCCATCTTGGGTCTTTTTTGGCTTCTGGTCTTGAGGGGAGGCATGTTGGGTGTGGGACACAGAGCCTCCCTCACTGCACCTTGGGGTCAGTGGCCCCTGATGGGGGTGGGGGATAGGGACCCCATATAGCCTTGCCCCCATCCCTGCTGGTCTATGCAATGCTCCTGAGGAGGGGGGTATCTTCGGCTGTTGGTAGGAGTTGCGGATTCCTACAGCCACACTTAATACAGTGACATTTGGAACTGCCTACCTCTTTCCTTGCCCTACCAAGCAGATCCAGGCATCTGGGCTGCCCCACCAGCCCCTGCAGCCTCCAACTGTATAGAACTCAGGTGTCCAGGTTCCCAACCCACCTAGACCTAGTGGGGATGGGGATGACTTTCTAGAGCCCTACTATCCCAGCATGCAATGCAGTTTCTAGCCTCATCTTGGGGGAGGGAAGGGCCTGATCTCTGGTTAGGTACGGAATCCCTAGCATCACACAGAACTCAGAGGTCTGGGACCCATACACTATGCAGGGAGGGCGCAAGCAGTAGGACAATGCAGCCAGCTCTGGTGTGTGAACAACTAAGCAGAACACTGTATAGCCTGGCACAGTGATGCAAGGGGGGTGGCAGCTGAAGAAGAGCTATATGCAGGGGGGAGGAACACTGGCCAAGTATACAGCTGCAGGGGGAGAGCACATCCAACAACACTGTAGTGCAGCCTGCTCTAGAGTGGAACACCAGGGGATGGCCGAGTAGAACCACCTGGAGCAGCCTCACCTGGAGGCATGTTGCAGCCAGCTCTGGGATGGAGTACTAGGCAATGGCTGAATATCACCCTGACACCCCCAGACCTGGGTGGTTTAGCTTCCAAAGTTTAATAATAATAATAATAATAAAAAAAATCATAATACAATAAAATAATATGCCCCACCCCCTGACCTGGCCCCACCCCCCACCCCCTAAAGAGAAAACACTAGAAAGAGATGAGGACAGGTTAGTGTCAGCGCCAGGCTAGGGGGCACTCCCTATGGAGCACCCCCCCCCCCCCCCCCCCCGGGGTGCACA